TATGAAGTTAGCTTTGTCCGCTTTTTAACTCGTCTCGTGCTGTAAAATGAGTTGAAACTTTATAAGAGATATTTTGGCACGTTATCATGAGATTGTTTAGCCAACGTGGGTTGGCGTGTCAGGGCGTTTAGCTCTTACTAAGATTTTTTTTTTTGCAGATATTTTGTGGCGCATAGATTTTAAGAGTTACGATTTCATGAATAAGGCACAATGAGGCGTCACTTAAGCAGATGTTTTTTGTTCTTTTCGTTTTGTTTGCTGGGGTTCGTCCATAGAAATGCTAATTTAAATGATAAATCGGAAAAAAAAAAATAGAATGGGAAAGGGATGAGAAACAAAGCATTTTAGAACTAGTAAGTGGTTATGGGATTAGAAAGAAGACGAAAATAAAGAGAAGAAACCATAATCGAAGTAAAGACAACGAGAAAAAGTAGAAAATGGGCGTGATGAAAGAACAAAAAAGGGTCACCCGCAGTGTAAGTGTGTTCCTTGTTAAGCAAAAAAGAAATCATACCTTCAATATCCACGGGAGTAATGAACAAGAAATCAATGAAGGATATCGTGCAATAACTCATGATCCTCACTCACATGTTGATCAACCTTCTAATTAGTGATTTTCATCACACTTATTGTGTTCAAATAGACAAAGCTTGACAACACAACTAAGAACCCAAAATTCCTTGCCCCAAACATAATTTTTGCTCAAAAATAGCAAAAGCAGACTCTATTTTTTTTAATTTTAACTATTTCATTGCTACTTCCGTACAAACAGAAACGTCATCTACTTCTTTTATTTCAGCTATTTCATAGTTACTTCCTTACAAATAAAAAAACTCTTACCAGCACCCATGGGCACTGTTACAAAACCCATTCATAAATTCAATTAAATGAATAATAACTGTTCTTCTTCGATATTAACATTAGAAATGCAATTAAACCAACTCTATAAGAAAGTGAGTCAGCGGTCAGTATGGGTACGAGGACAATGTCAAGGACTTTATAGCAAGTCATCTAATTTAGGGGTCTTTTTCGCTAATATGCTTTGAAGGGGCCATATTAGAGGGGCAAAAACCCCCCATCAAATAACTACAGTTAAATTGCATTTAAATGACCTATAATTCCACCAACATTGCACTTAAGTGACCTTTATTTTAAAACTGACCAAATAAATACCCCAAAGTATTTAAATGTTACCGATCACTATCCCAAAGTTAAAAAATCCCTAATGGTGTTGACATTTCTCTGTGTCCAAGAATGTCATATAATACAAAGTACTAAAGTGTAACTTTTAAAAAAATTGAAACATTAAGTAAACAAAAGGGCACCAAAGTGTGATAATTTGAAGCTTTAGGCATTTATCTGTAACATTTAAATACTACGAGGCATTTATTTGCTCGGTTTGAAAATAGCGGTCACTTAATTACAGCATTGATGAAATTATAGGGCATTTAAGTACAATTTAGCCAATAACCACAGACTCTAGTGATACCATCAAGAGGATAGCCATAGATGCCTGTCACGAGAATCAAACGGATGAAAATTCTACTAACTGGCGATGCCGTTACAAGATAGCATCCATAAATACGGGACCAGCTTTGTTTTCGAAGGCTTACAGCACAAAATAGACATCATAGGACTGTGCTTGCCGAGATGAGAAGCACTAGTCAAAATGTGAACTCTTCAGGCAGCTCCTGAAACTTACTAGATAAAAAACTCCTGTACTTCCCCTTGAGATCTCTAACTGCAATGATAATTTAGGATTTGTTGTATCACAAGAAATAAATAATTTGGACGGAAAAAAAGGTTAGCCGGAAATTCATTACCTTTGGAATCAACAATCCCTGTTTTGCCCTCTGGCGCTTTATCGGATAAAGTGACTGAAGCAAGTCTAATAATCTCCTCACCTATAATTCCAATAGAGAAAGTATAATAACAGTCAAGGTACTTCAAGGTTGCATAAAGGAAACTAAATACGAAGGACAGCACTCCATCTTACCAGTTATATGCTTTCCACCACTGTTAACATTGATCAAGAAGGACGAGATCTCATTATTCTTTAACTAACAAATAAAGATGGAAATTAATCATGAGCGAGGTATGATAGTCAAGAAGATATTATCGTTAATGAGGGGTTATCAAGGAATCACAAGAAGTTTTTAATACGTACATGTGACAATAGGGCAATGGCAAGTGCTAGCGGATCAAGAGGCGAAGGACCTCTGCTGAAAGCAGGCAAGAATTTTCCATCCTGATAGCCTGCCAAAAAGTGATAAGCGGCTTGTCCTGGAGACAGCTTCGATACCAATGGAATTGCACCGGTGCTGCAATTTGGAAAAAGCCGTTGGTAAAATGTCAGAAGTTCACCAGCAACTAAAAGCAATAATAGAGGATGTGAACGCAAATTAAAGCCATCTCAAACCCCAAACTTTGATTTCATGAACGAAGCACTAAGAGAGTGATCTTAAGACAAAGAACTTTGATTTCTGAATTTATTTCACCTGTCAGCGGAAGCAATGATCACAGAAGCAGGTTTCTTTAGCAGCTTTTTTGCAGGACATGGCCGGCCACCTCAAGGTGGCTCGGCTCATGCCGAGCCACCAAGAGGTGGCTCGGCCGGCCACCTTGGTGGCTCGGCCACCGAGCCACCTCTTGGTGGCTCGGTGGTGGCCGAGCCACCTTGGTGGCCGCCGAGCCACCAAGGAGGTGGCTCGGCCTCCGAGCCACCATTTGGTGGCTCGGAGGTGGCCGAGCCACCCCAAGGTGGCTCGGCCACCGAGCCACCTAGGTGGCTCGGCCGAGCCACCACTTGGTGGCTCGGCCACCGAGCCTCCTTGGTGGCTCGGTGAGCCGACCTCCAGGTGTTTGTCGTTTTGCCTCTTTGTGCCCGTTTTCCGGTTTTGTAGTTGATAGGTTCGGATTCGATTTGCTGATCTGATTTGGCAGTAAATCCGGATCCCGATTAGGCAGTAAATCCGCTTCTGAGTTGGAGTCCGAAACCGATCTTGATTCGATCGTCATTCGTCCGAGTATGCCTTTGGTTGGATGACTCGTTGACTCTTCGAACACTTGGCTTGATCCCGCACGCGAATGGACGTATTCCGTTGCTTGCGTGCGATTAGTCAATCTCGTCGTCTCGTTGGTTTGTCGGTTTGTGCCGAGCTGAGCTAAGGGACCTATAAGCAATTTTATATGCCTACAGATACCCCCTCCAAAGTATTTCAGTCTCGTTCTTTTATAGAAGAGTCTGGAATACTTTGGATATGATTGTCCCCACCTTCAGTCGGTGTAATGGGACCTTGGAATGACTTGTGTTCTTGATTCCTTCAATCCTTCAGGCTATTCGGTGCTTTGTCGAATGTCTGTAAGGGTTCCGGTGCTGCATTTATTGTCTGACCGTTTGTCGGAAATTTTGAACCTTGAAGTCGATTCCTGATTTTTGATCTTCAGCTCGTAGAATTGACCATCGATTGCTGGCGTCGAGTTTTTATGTGCAACGCGTTGTCCGGCGTTGTGTTGTTGAGTTATCCTTAAGAATATTTTTTAGAAAAATACTCTCCAGAAACTTCTCAACCAAAATTAGGGAACAGTTTATACTCATATACCTTATTGGAGTAAGAAGCAGTTTATACTCGTATACTTTTCGGAGTATTGATTCTTTCATTGCAACGCATTGATAGGCGTTGACCTAGGGTTACGCGTTGTCCGGCGTTGACCCTGGGGTTTTGACCGTCGTACGTTGACCTTTTTGCTTGCAACGCGTTGACTGGCGTTGACCTAGGGTTATGCGTTGACCGGCGTTAACCCTAGGGTTTCGAACGTCGTACGTTGAATTTTTGCTCGCAACGCGTTGACTGGCGTTGACCTAAGGTTACGCGTTGTCCGGCGTTGACCCTGGGGTTTTGACCGTCGTACGTTGACCTTTTGATCGCAACGCGTTGACTGGCGTTGACCTAAGGTTACGCGTTGTCTGGCGTAGACCTTAGGGTTTTGAACGTCGTATGTTGCTCAGGTCACGAGACCAACTAAAGAAGCTGATGCGTCAGTGACTTTCGTATTTATAGGATTTTTGGCAAATCCTCAGCCATCAACGGGTTTGATGCGCCTTTACCGACTACCGTTTGAGTCGGGCTAGCATGCGGATTGTTTTAAGTCCGTTCCGCATGTGACGTTATGCTAAAAGAGTTAACTCTTTTAGTGCTACGATATTGAATACGTAGACTTCGTCTTTCTCCTGTGAAAAGACTAAACAGCAACGTGTATCAGACGTTGACTTAGGATTTTTGGCAAATCCTCAGCCCTCAACGGATTTGTCATGCTTTTACCGATTACCGTTTGAATCGGGCTTACATGCGGATTGTCTTAAGTCCGTTCCGCATGTGACGTTGTGCTAAAGGAATGAACTCCCTTAGACTTGATGCTACGACTTCGAATACGTAGACTTCGTCTTTCTCACGGGAATAGACTACCCGGCGACGCGTGTTAGGCGTTGACTTTAGGATTTTTGGCTAACCCCAAGCCTTTAACGGATTTGATTAGCCTTTACCGACTACCGTTTGAGTCGGGCTAGCATGCGGATTGTCTAAATCCGTTCCGCATGTAACGTTGTGCTAAGAGAGTGAATTCTCTTAGACTTTGTGCTATGATGTTGAATACATAGGCTTTACCATTGTTATGGGAATAGGCTACCCAGCAACGTGTATTAGACGTTGACTTATCCCTACTTAGGCTTCGGGATAAAAATACCCCAGACTGGTATTCTGGTGTCTTTTTCAATCGGTAAAAGACTAAACCGGCGACGCGTGTTAGGCGTCGGCATATCCTTTCTTAGGATTCAGGATGAAATTCCCCATGCGTGTAAGGCATGGATTTTGGTGTTATTAATAACAACCTGCCACAATGTTGAATATGTGGACGGATGTTCTTTTCAACGGTTAAGAACTAACCGGCAGCGCGGGTTAGGCGCAGACTTATCCTTGCTTAGGTTTCAGGATAGAATACCCCAGAATCGAACTCTGGTGTCTTTTTGTGCGGAAAAAGACTAAACCGGCAGCGCGTGTTAGGCGCAGACTTATCCCTGCTTAGGATTCGGGATAAACTTCCTAGTACCTGTGAGGCACAAATTTTGGGATTTGAAAAAGGTGGTGTCTTCTCTTGGGGCAAAGACGAACCCGAAATGGGGGAAGAATTTTTATATTCTATCTCCCGACAATGAAGAAGAAGAATTTTATATTCCATCTTCAACTGGAAAGGAGACTCGAGGTGGGATCTCCACCTCCAGAATCCGGAAAGGTGAAACTGAGAGTGGGATCTCCACTCCGAGAATCGAAAAGATTCGGATAACCCTAACTGTCGGAAGGTTTGATTACCGAACTAAAGATGAATTTCTCGTTTATCGAGAGTGAATTGCGGTTTTGGTCCTAACTGTAGGAAGGTTTGACCAAGCAGGAGTTTGAGATGACCCTAACTGTAGGAAGGTTTGATCACTCGATTTGAAAGTGGACCTCTCGTTCATTGGAGGAATCGAGAGGGGATTTTGACTGTGGTCCTAACTGTAAGAAGGTTTGACCAAGTGGGTGTTTTGAGACAATCCTAACTGTAGGAAGGTTTGATCGCTCAATTTGTGGACCTCTCGTTCATTGGGGGAATCGAGAGGGGATTTTGACTGTGGTCCTAACTGTAAGAAGGTTTGACCAAGTGGGTGTTTTGAGACAATCCTAACTGTAGGAAGGTTTGATCGCTCAATTTGTGGACCTCTCGTTCATTGGGGGAATCGAGAGGGGATTTTGACTGTGGTCCTAACTGTAAGAAGGTTTGACCAAGTGGGTGTTTTGAGACAATCCTAACTGTAGGAAGGTTTGATCGCTCAATTTGTGGACCTCTCGTTCATTGGGGGAATCGAGAGGGGATTTTGACTGTGGTCCTAACTGTAAGAAGGTTTGACCAAGTGGGTACTTTACGTCCAGACTCTAACAGAGAGAGTGTTGAGTGCACAGACACGGTGAGAATTTGAATGGGAGTTCTTATTCATTACATTGCTGTGGTTTTGGGAACTTCCCGTTACATAAATCGTCCACCCCCAGTTTCCTCTGCGGAACTGGTTCGGACATTATTATCAGTTAACTAACCGGGTTATCCTTAAGAATATTAGCTTAATATTCTCCAGGAACTTCCCGTCAAAAGTGGGGAAACAGTTTAGACTCATATACCTATTGGAGTATCAGGGAGTAGTTTAACCTCTTATACCGGTCGGAGGATTGAGAAACAGTTTATACTCGTATACTCTTTGGAGTTTTGCCGTTCTTATTTGGCTTACCTTAGCGTTATGACGCCGGCTTCAACCAAGGTCTGAATGCTATTCTTGAGAGCAAAGCAATCCTTGGTGGGATGAACGACCCTCCTGTGGTATGCACAGTACTTTGGGTCCGTAGTGTTGTCAGCTTCCTCCTGATTTGTGATAGGTGGTAGCTTGATCTTGTTACCTTCAAGGAGGGATTCGAAGATGGCTGGAACGTCTTCGTCCTTGAAAGAGTACTCTTTTTGGAGTCTCGGACCCGAAGTCTTTTGCTGCCTTCGGGATTGCTGTTGTGACGCTTGATTAGCACCACCAGTAGCTGCAGGTGTTTTGCCCTTACCACGAGAGGCGAAATTTGAGTCCAGCGGATTAACCGTCGGTTGGTTCCTCTCGGCCTTCTTCCTTCTAAGGAATCGCTCAGCCTGCTCCCCTCGGACCTTCAGATCCTTCCAAGTGTCAGACGGTGCTGTTCCCATTGCTTCCAACACGTCCAACGCAAGGTTGTTGTGGCAAGTTTGGAGGATGAATTCCTCTGTGATCGGGTCCCGGCAATTCATCGCCTTGTTCCGGAACCTTTTGACGAAGGTGTCGACTAACTCCCCGTCCTTCTGCTTCTCATCGAGCAATGATCCGATAGATATCTCGGTGTCGTCGTCGAAGAAGTTAGCGAGGAATTTTGTCTCTATGTCGTCCTAGCTATTTACGCTTCCTGGCTTGAGGCGGCGATACCAATCGAAGGCGGCTCCGCGAAGAGTGCCGACGAATGACCGCACCATCAGAGGCTCATTGCCGGAAATAATACCCAGGTGCGATTTGAAATAAATCAAATGCTGAGTGGGGGAACCCTTCCCATCGAACGGCGTGAAGTTGATTAGATTGAACTTCGCCGGATATGGGATCGATTCCCACTCTCTTGGGTATGGACAGGGAATGCCTGTTTTCTTCGTCTCTTGAGCGGAGATCAATGTGTTGATTTTGCTCTCGAGGTTTTTGATCTTCAAGTCTTCACTTGTATCTTCGTTGGCATCCTCGTTACCACCCCCTGCATTGACGGGAGGGTTATTGGCATTGTGAGCTTCATCCCTATCCGTGTGCTCCTCTTCCTGAACAACCTGGTTACGGTGGCTTGGTTCACCTCGCTGGTTCGTCAGTGCCTGAATTTGTTGCTCATGCATCTCTCTCATAGTCTGCATGGCCATCTGCATCTCGAACCTAAAGCTTTCCTGTTGTTTGGCTATGGCATCTTCGAGCATCTTGGCCACTTGT